CTGGAAGAAAACATAGGAGGAAAGCTTCACAACCTCTGGTGGAGATTTCTTGGATAGGACACACAAAAACCACGTAAGAACATGTTGAAAAGGGTACTTCATCAGAATCAAAAACTTCTGTTCTTCATAAGATACCAGTAAGAGAATGAAAGGGCAAGCCACAAACAGGGATAAAATATTGCCAAAACTTTCTGACAAAAGACTCAGATCCAAAATAGTAGAGAGCTCTTACAACTCAACAATAAGAAAAGAACTACAGGGTCACCCAGTTAAAAAGATATTCAGACGACCAAGAGTCCCATAAAAAACATTCAACACACCATTATCAATGGAAAAATGCAAATTAAAACCACGGTGAGATACCGATGCACACCCACTAAAATGGCCAAAAGAACACGGAGTACTTGACGTTATCACACATTACTGTGTGAAGTGGTACAGCCACTCTGGAATACTATTTGACTGCTTCTCATACAGTTAAACATATACATACCATATGATTTAACAAGTTGGCCTTAGATATTTATCCAAAAGAAATAAAGACATATGTCCACAAAAAGACAGGTACGTAGCCACTTTATTTGGAATAGCCCCAAACTGGAAAAAACCCCAAATGTTCGTCAACTGGTGAACGAATAAACAAACAGAATATGTCCACACTACTCAGCCAAAAAGAAATGTGCCACTGATGGATGCGACAACATGGATGAACCTCAAAACACGATTTGGAGCAACGGAATTCATACAGCAAAGGCTATATACCCTGTGACTCCATCTACATGAACTCCTACAATGGGCAAGACTAATCTGTAGTGACAGAAAGCACAGAAGTGGTGGCTTGGGGCCGGGGTGGGCAGAGGGCTGGCTGCAAAGGGGCCTGGGGTCCTCTGGGGTGAAGGTCGGGTCCCGTATAGTAACTGTGGCAGCAGTCACCCGGGGGTAGACAGTTGTTCAAAGCCACAGTGTGCTCTTGGAACAGTGCATTTCATTGAATGTAATGTTGATTTGGGAAAAGAGTTAAGGCTGCGTTTTGTTTCTTTACCATGACGACATCTCCACAACCCCAGACGCTGGCTAGAACCCCAGCACCCACCAAGAGTGCTAAGCACTGTACTGCGAGCACTTAGTATGTGCCTGGCCACCTGTCAGGCCTTTTCATTCATGGTCTCCATCAACCTCTCACCAGCCTGTATGATGGGTGTTTTCATCACCCAAACTCAGCAAGGTTGAGCCATCTGCTCAGAGTCACACAGTTAGCAAGAGGCATGATCAGGACTCAGACTCAGGTCTAGCTGACTCAAAGGCCTGTGCTTTCATAAATGTCTCTGTACCATCTCCAGAGAGGAAAGAAACCCAGCAAGAGCACAGAGTGACATGTTTGGAAAAAAACAAACCAACCAGGAAGTCAACTATGATTTGAAAACTGCTTCCCCAGGAGCCATTTCTAGTTACAAAGCTGTCGGTATGACTTAAGGACTGTACTGGATGGCAAGGCCTGTCATGTGTCCAGCTCGTCACATAAGACAATGTATGCTCATTGATAAAACATCACATAAATTAGCGTTTGAGGAATTCCCAAGCCAACTGAACCAAAACATGACCCCTTGACTAATCCCAGACTTGTAGGCCAGGACCAGCCTGTGAGGGGACCTTAAGACCTCCAGGTGCTACAGACCCTGGAGGCAAGTGACCTGACCACAGATGATGCAGAGAGTGGTCCGGTGCCAGGACAAACCTGAGCCCCTGACTTCTAGTCTACCTCCCATCCCACCATCGTAATGTTGGAGCCTACCTGACACCCCACAGGGCTCAGTGCACCTGTCTCACTGCTGAGGACAGAGGAGAATGCTGTGGCCTCACCCACCCCACCACTGCCAAGAGGGCCTGACAGAGTTGACTGAGCAGGGAAGGGGGTCACCTGGCCTTGTGGCTGCTGTTTCCCTGCGTGACCACACAGTATTAGCTTTGGAGGCTGTAGGGCAAAGAGCCCAGACGGGTTTCTATCCTGTCTCTCCCACGAATCCGCTGTGTGACATTGGGTGAGTTGTTGAAACTTTCTGACCCTTGGTTTCCTTTTGGGTGCTATTTATACCCAGCCAATACTCCTCAGGAATGGCTCTGAGGATCAGCTGTGAGAAGAGCTGTCTGAGGAAGTTATTTGTAAGTTACAATACTGGTGATCATGCCATTCAACGGGATTGGGCTCTAGACTCCTGCAAAGCAGTAGAATAGAAGCAGCTGCCAGCTCACGGTAGTTTGGGAATGATGGTTGTTCCATCTCAAAAAACGGGAATAAATAATACATGACCTGCTTGAAGCAGGGAGCTGGAACAGACATCCTTTGGGGGTCACTTCTAACACTTAAGTCTATGATTCTGTGATTTTTGAAGACCCCAATAAGATTGACCTCACCTGCTCTCCTACTGTTGGAATTTTCTTTTATCAAGATGACAAAACACTTCATCTTATAAAAGCAAATGACCTGGAGAAGGGAGGGCAACATTGCCTCACATTCTCACTACAGTGTGGATGACTGATATAGAGTTCTTCCAGAGAGCAAAATCTGATAGGAAGCTGGGACCCTTGGCCTGACTGGGAAGCAACAAGGCTTCCCCAGTGAGAACCCAGGCTCTATGAGATTAAACACATAACAGCATGAGGCTCCAATTTCAGCTTATCCCCTTAGTATTTGTCCTGCTCCCCAGACTGTGAAGATGGTGGCCTGAGTGTGCTTTGCCAGCTCTGCCCAACCAAGCTCACGACCTGGAACAGGTGGCTCCAGTACTCACATGGCCCCTCTCAGTCCTAACGCAGGCCGAACTCACCATCTCCCCTCTCATTTCCAAAGCTGCCCCTGTGCTCAGTCCTAAAATTCTAGCCCCTGGCACTGCTTCAAACTCCTCACCCTTCCAACCACACCGACCAGGGTAGTCCAGGCTTCCTGGAGCCCCTTTCCTTCCACTTCACCTGGCCCTTGTCCCATCCCTAACCCCCAACCCAGACAAACAGAATTGTGGAAGGGAGCTGGTGTCCAAGAGGAAACAGGCACCACTTGTCCTCACCCTCTCCATTCAGCTCAGAAATCCTTGTCAGGGCTGGAATATCAAGAGGCTGTGCCTAGCCTCCTTAAAAATCATCATCGTCATGCCCTGGCTGGTGTGGCTCCATGGACTGAGTGCCAGCCTGTGAACCCAAGGGTCACCGGTTTGATTCCGGGTCAGGGCATGTGCCTGGGTTGTGGGCCAGGTTCCTGGTTGGGGACAATTGATGTATTCCTCCCTTTCTTGCTCCATCCCTTCCCCTGTCTCTAAACAGTAAAATTAAAAAAATATTTTTTAAAAAATCATCATCATCATCACCACTGGCATTAGTTGAGCATTCACTAGGCACTAGATGTTGTCCTAATGGCTTTACATGTACTATCTCAGATAATCTTCATATGAAATAGGCACTGTTATCCTCATTTTACAGATGATAAGCCAAGGCACAGAGAGGTTAAGTAATTTGGCCAGGAGCACACAGCTAGCAAGTGGCAGAGTTGAGAACTAAGCCCAGAATTTGTGCCATTATATCCTGCCTACTGAGGCAATAACAGTGCCTTCGAGCCTGAAATCATTGGGAAACATGTTCATTCACTGTTCTTGAAGAGAATCCAGAGGCTCAGTCATGTCAAGTTCATACCCTTATTTGCAAAAGGGGTCACTGTAGCCCAGAGGCCAAGTGGCCTTCCCAAGTCACCTGTGGCTGAGCCCAGAGCTAGGGTTTGAGCTTGCCCCTTCCACACAGTTCAAGAGAAGCCATTGCCCACAGCCCAGGCACATTTTAACGGAGGTCATGACCTGGAAATTAGCCCACAGCCCTTATTCCAGCCTGTCTTGTGGGGGACACCTCAGACCCTTGCTCCAGCCTCCCTGGTAGGTCCTTAGCAGCAGTCTCTTGGGGGTCACTTGTGTGGTGTTTTCTTGCCTTTTCTGTGGTCAGACTGTAAACCTCACCCTGATTTGAAGTGAAGATTACAAAAAATGGCATGATTCAAAGTAACAGATTGTACATAGTTGGCGTGCGCTTTGGGTGGAGGTCAGGAAAGTGCCTTCACACCCACGACCCCATCTCCCAACCCCAGTCCCTGCGATTCAGGGTCAGAGAAGCAGGTACAATCAATTGTCCTGTAACTTGCGCTCCACACACTCCCAGCTCCCTCCCCACGCTCTCCCCAGGTGTCAGCCCAACTCCGACCCTCCCTTTCCAATCGGGTACAGCACCTCTCCTCTCCTGCTCCTCGTTATTCTCCTGAGAATTCGCCCGGCGCCGGGTCTGAGATTCGGTCGGATTTCCCCAAATGACGTTCCACACCCCCTCCCTCCGCGTCTCCAGCTGACACTCCCCACGGCTCCTCCATTCTTCCTGGATCTGCGTGATCCCCTTCCCCGGCCTCCGGAACAACCCATCCCCTCCCATCCACCCAGCGCTCCGGGTCTCTGCTCCGCGGGGCGAGGACAGAGGGTGAGGAGGGAGCCCCAGGCAAAGACTGTGGCTAGACAGATCCCGTGATGGGGGCAGACGGGGCGCCGGGTGAGGGTCGGAGAGGGCATCAGAGCGCGGGAGGGACACCTGGACAGGCTGAGACAGGGCGCGCCAGAGCGGACGGGGCTAGGGCCCGAGACGCGTGCTGAAGTCCGGGACCTTGGGGCAGGGTCTGAGATCGCGCAGCGTGAGCGGGATGAGGTCTCGCACAGGGAAGGGTGAAAAGATTGTCTGCGAAGGGGAGCAGAGAGTCGGACGCCAAAAGGTGCGATGGGGATCTGAGCCCGGTAAGCCAGAGACGAGCTCGCTGTGCGAACTCCGACCGCGAGGTGCGGCTGGGTGCGGCTGGAGCTAAGGTCTGAGTTCGAGATTCGGCGGGGCCAGAGCCAGAGGGATGGAAAAGTTGGCCCTGCGTAGCCGGAGGAAGGGTAGGCAGGTGGGCAGGGGGCATGGGCCGGGGCGCGGCGGGCACTGACCCGAAGTAGGCGGCGGCGGCGGCGGCGGGCAGCGCCAGCAGGCAGAGCGCGGCCAGAGCCAGCGCAGACGGGGGGCGCATGGTGCCGGCGGCGCGGCGCCCTGTCTCGTCTACTTGCGCCACTCGGCGCTCGCGGCGCTGCCACAAGCCGCCCGCGGGGCTTTAAACCCGGGAGGGGAGGAGCGGAGGGCGGGGAGAGGGAGAGGCGCTGGCGGCCACCCCCACCCGGCGGCGAGCCCCCCGCCCCATTGGCCTGCAGGACACGCCCCGCCCCGTCGCGGGTGGGGTCGCCACCTCAGGCCCGCCCCCGCCCCGCCCCCATCTACCCCTTCCACCCGCGCTAGGTGAGAGCTCACCTGACGCCTAGTCCGCCCCGGAACGCGACGGCGGAACGTGAAGCACCCCCGGGCCTAGGGATGGGAGGACTGGGTGGGGATCAGGGAGTTTGTGCTTCTCTTTCCCGGGCAGGGTGGTAGGACGCGCAGGATTCTCGCCCCCGAGGTACGGGGGTGCCGGCACAGAAGGAGGAGCCTGGAGTCTGCAGAGGAGCGGTGTCAGGCCCCTTTTTTTGCCCGGCCGTCTGCCCCAGCTCCAGGACTCTGAGGGCGGGGTCCGGTCCTGACGTAGAACTGCTCTCCAGGAGCGGGAGACCCGTGTGTAATCACTGGGAGGACCCTTTTGCCCGGCAAAGGGCGTCCTGGAGGGTCTCTCAGAGCGGGGCAGGGGGAGGAGAGCTCTTTCTGAACAGGAGACTTCCTGTCAAGGATGAGGTGCACAGCGTGGGCCTCAGTGGGCATTTGACAAAGTGCTGCTGATGTTCCAAGGACGAAAAGCCAGTTCTCTAGTCAGTGGGGCAGGCCGAGCCCGGGCGGTGGTGGGAGACCGGGAGGGACCTGCTTTCCAAATCGTGTAGGCGCCAGAACCTCTGACAGACAGGATGGGCACCTCCAGGGTTGGGCCACAGAGCTTGGTCTTGCGTATTCTTTTAAAGTTTAACCCCAATTCCTGCACTGAAGGTGCAGTGACCAAGGCAGCAGATGGCACGGTGTAGGAGGAGACAAGACAGACAACAAATGACCTGAGCAGAATTTGAAATGTTTCTGAGTCTTGAATACTGGGTCAAACGGAGCAAAACAAAATACAGCTTGCACTGAATGTCAAGATCTGCATGTGAAGTTTCCAAAAAATCAGCCATGCATGTAGAACATCAGATGACAGCGACCTTGGCTTTGCGGCGGACATGGGCGTGATTGCAGGTGGGGAGACGGGTGGAAGATGGCAGCTGTGACGTTAGCTAAGCCTGAGGTGGTGTTAGCAGGGGAAGGCCCCCCACCAAACCCTCAATAGAGAGGCTCTCTGAGCTGTTTCCCTGTCAAATGAGCGGAGTGATTGATGAGATGGTGAGTGCCGGCCGATCAAATCTCATGGTTCTGTTTACTGAGGCACGCAATGCAATGTGATGGGCAGAGGCCTGGAGTCAGATCGTGTAAGTATGAACACTAGGTATGAAATGGGGACAAACATCTCACAGGACTTTTGTGCACATAAGAATGATGCCAAATGCCTAACAGGTGCTACTACTCGGTATCAGGTTATTGTTACAATGCAGCAGTACCAGTGATGTGCTGGCATTTACATGCTTTCCGCGGGGGAGGCGGGTGTCTTATTTGTATCATTCGCTGATTTCTGTGCTGGACGTATCTCATGCTACCAAGGTGGTGTCATCCCTGATCTGTGGAGTTAGGAAGAGATTAGCAGAGTTGGCTCTACAAGCCAGCCTGAGTCAGCTCCTGCTCACCACTGGGAAGACCTCGAACCAGGCTCAATGAGGCTGAGGAGGGGAGGCCAAGCTGGACCAGTGTGAGTCAGACAGGAGGCCCCGGCCACACCCACTGGGCACTGAGTCCTGGCAGGAAAGGGGGGAGCAGGTTCAGCTTGGTCTGCCCCAGCTGTGCATCCTGTCCTCACGCCCATGAGCACATGCCATGCACACAAGCATGCCCAAGCATGCACGTGTCTGGATAATGTGGGGGATGAGGGGGAGCACATTCTCTCAAAGTGACACATTTTCAACACTTCAGAAAAGTTATGTGTTGACATCTGACGGTTCAGGCTGTGATGCAAAGAATTTGAAGGAAGCACCAATGAGTGAACAGAGACATCAGTGGTTGGCCAGTGAGATATGTGCTTAGAAGATGTCCAGATGGATGTTCAGCCCCCACCAGCCAATGGCATGACCCCACCCTTGGGCTCCTTCCTCCTGATGCTAGAGTAGTGCTGCTCTCTGTCTGCTGGAGAGACCCCCGACTTGCCCATGGAGAAGTCAGAGTTCTGCTTCTGCCTTCCTGGTCAACAGGGCTTCGTGGAACTGCCCAGGTAGCAGCTTCTGTTGTCGCCAGGTACTGAGCATGGTGTGTGTGTGCAGCTCTCAGCACACAGTCTCACTGAAGCCTCCTGCCCCCTGTGAGATTAGGCCGATTGTTATTCCTATTGCACAGATGAGGAAACTGAGGCTCTGAGAGCTTAAGTAGCTGGAACAAGTAGCAGGATGTGAGCCCAGCTCCAGCGGGACTGTCACACTGGCTGTGGCTCATGATTGGCTGTGGCTGTCTGGGAGTCACCCAGGCGCAGCTCGACTCACAGAGGCCTTTGCATAATTCAACCTTACAGAGCATCATGTACCTCCTAAGTGCTGACCCTCAGGGGTCTCTATTCTGCAGGGGGAGATGGTGGTGAAAACAGATCATCTCCACAATTGTGGTATTGTGGGACCCTGAGGAAGGGCCTAAGAGGTGGCCCTCAGGTCTTACTGTCTTTGGCTACAAATGGTTTGTGAGTCTCACCTTCCCCTCTGCCCTTTGAGCTTCTCAAGGGAGGGCCTGAGTTTTATTTCTCTTATCTCCAGAGGCTGACTGAGGGCCTAGCACATAGTAGGTGCTCAGGAAATATGTGTTGTTGCCAGGTTATAACCTTGGCCTGTGACCTTTTTATGGAGCTTCAGGGATAGAAGGAATCACACTGACACAAGGCATGCCTGCACAACTACTCCTCCCAGGCTCAGAGGTGTGCTTCATCACACACACACACACACACACACACACACACACGTTGACACTGTACAACACAAGCCCAGGCATTCAGTGGCACACAGGCTCCCCTGCACCTCCCCCATGGATGCCTAAATTCCTAGGCAGACCCACAGCTGCTCCTGGACCCGCACGTCCACACAGGCATGCAGGAGAAGCATTCTTAGACATCCACATGCAGCTACCTGTCTCCATTACCCAGCCCAAGGCAGCCACTCTCAGGGAGAGAGCCCTCCCCTCCCCCTGTGTACACACACACACACGCACACACACGCACACACGCACACCTTGGAAGTTACAGACATGTGGCAGAAAGGCGAGCAATGGCTGCATCAAGTCTAGCTCTGAAGTGCCTCCAGACCTCCCCCTCCTCCCTGCCATTCTGTTCCCAGGCCCAGACACCCTGCCTGAAGCAAAGCCTCAAGAACCATCCATTTATCAGTTCCTGCAAGACTCCAAACCCCAGCCATGCCCAGGCCCATGGCAGAGCCCAGCAACCACACAATCCCCACAGCTCACCCCCAAGCCCTGAGCAGCAGAAATGAGGAATTCCAGGCTGGACATCTCCTTCCAATCACCTCAGGCTGCACTGAAAATGGACTCAGCCCAACAGCAAGTGGTGCAGGAGCAGCACCCCGCCAGGCCGAGGCACAGCTGCTCAGGAGAGCTGGTCTGGGGAAAGACCCACAGGACTCGGGTGGGTGTGCTCACCTGTCCTTTGGCCCGTCCTTCCCACCACCCACCACTACCCCATCCCATCTCCTTTGCTGTGACCTCATTATGACTCGTTCTGTCTGACCACTTCCACCCACCCTACCCCCGCACCTGTGAGCTGGACTTGACTCTCAGACTCCCACTTGCATTATCTGGCCCTGGGCCTTGTGAGGTAGCATGGTGGGCATCTCTGTCCCCACTGAACAGGCAGGACATTAGAGTCCAGAAAGGTAACTTCCTCGAGGTCATGGAACTCACTGGCACCTGGCGAATGGGGACTTGATGTCTCCAGAACACCAGGCTGAAATAGGACTGAAGCTGAGCAGGGAAAGTGGACCACAGAATCCCACATGTAGGAGGCTCATGGCTAGGCCTGAAGACAACAGTGAAAAAGACAGCAGAGAAAGCCACCGAAATGTTAAAAAAAATGAGTGGGTGCTGTGGGGGTTTAGGGTGTGGGTAAAAATGTTTTTATCCCCTTTGCATTTTCCAAAGTTCCTATTAGAAGCATACTTACCATTTATAGTGGAAAATAATTCCTTAAAAGGGGGTAAGGACACATACTCCAGAATAAATCTTGAATGACAGAAATGTAAGCACTGGCAGAAAAGCCGTTTGGAGGCAGGTGGGAGGAGTATTCCTAGACGCCCTCCTACAGCATCCGTCTGTCCATCCGTGTTCTGTGGGAAGGGCTCCTGCCTCCCTTGGGGAGCTTGCTCCTGAGATGGCTGAGCTCACCCCACCTGTGGCAATTCTAATTCGAGGACTTCTCGCCTTCACTCCTCATCTTCCTCACTTCAGAACTATACTCTGAGTGAGCTTGTGTTGTGCGGAGGGTGGTATGACCCTTCCTTGCCCCTTGCCTACCTGGGGTTCTTCTCCAGCCCTTGATACAGCAGTGTCTTTGAACTTAGCCAAGGAAGGCTAAAAGCAGAGAGGTACCCTTTAGGACCCCCTCCCACCCAGCCATGCTTCCATTGCCAAGGACAGCAGGTTACCTGCTGTGGTGCACCACCTCCTCCTGGAAGCCTGCCTTAACTGGTTACTCCTGGTTCTGCTCACTCATCACCTTGGCCCTAGAGACTTTATCAGCACAGCTTAATTTTGAACTAGTGATACAGTAATGCACACTGTCCTTGAGTTTGGGGGTGTTAGGCACCCCTGCTATGTGTAGATTTGCAGATTTCTCAAGGACCAAAACCTGTTCTCTGTTTCTTTTATACCCACACCTTTCCCCCAAAGAGGTATTGAGCTTTTAGTGCAGAGTAAAGTAATTAAAGAGTTGAATGAATGAATGAATGAATGAACACTGACCTGTGGATA